AATCTTCTAAAATAATCTTTATCCACAGTAATTCGCAGATGCCCAATGCCATTGCTCTAAATTCCGCTTCTGAACTTGATCTTGCAACTACATTTTGTTTTTTACTTCTCCATGTCACTAAGTTCCCACCTAAGAAAGTACAATAGCCAGAAGTGGATTTTCTATCATCTATCGATCCTGCATAATCTGCATCTGTATAAACTTCTAGATTGAGTTTCTCGCCTTTCTTAAACAACAATCCTCTCCCAATGGAGTTCTTCAAATAGTGGAGTATTCGGTACACAGTTTGAAAATGAATTTCTTTTGGACTATGCATAAATTGACTTACCACTCCTACAGCATACGCAATATCTGGTCTCGTATGAGAAAGATATATTAATTTTCCAACTAACCTCTGGTAAGTTTCCTTATTTACTGAAAGACTCTCTTCAGATGCACATAATCTATGGTTTTTATCAATTGGCGTTCCTATCGGTCTGCTACCAAGCTTTCCTGTTTCAGAAAGTAAGTCAATCACATATTTCTCTTGAGATAAGAATATGCCTTGGTTAGAATATGCTACTTCTATCCCAAGAAAATATTTCAGTCTTCCCAGTTCTTTAACTTCAAACTCTTGGATTAAACAATTTCTCTTAATAACTTCATCTTCCAAGTTCCACCTACCATGTTGAAGTTCCCAACCATATTCTTAAAATTTGAGGACGTATGCGAGAGATCAATAAAAGAAACCGATTGTTCACCATTAATGTCTCCACCCACGGCACATCATGCAGAACACCTATTAAATTCACATGTTCACCAATGACATATAATGCAAATCACCAACTAAATTATCAACCCCATTCATCGGCACTTTCATGTAAGTTCCCCACCAACAGCCCAAGCTGTCCTCCAAAGCAAAGTTGATTTGGACTAATGCAATTAGAATGATTATTTCCGAAATTTGGTTTGAAAAAATAAATTTATTTTTTAATTTTTTAAGATAAACACCTCACACAGAATGACCAGTTTAAATTAGCCAAATCCAAGACATTGCAGTGGTGCTCTCTTTCTCTATTATTTGGTAATTATTCTCCCAATGATATTTGTATCAATTGGAGGGCTTTTACCTTTGACATTAATTAGTTATAAAGGTTTGTAATCTTCTTCACCACCCCCCACCCCCCACCCCACTTTGGCTTCTTATACGACTTTGTATCTCTGAAGATACTTGCGACTTTTCAACCATCAAATTTGTTTCTTGCTTAAAAAAAAATCAAGGAGAAATGAAGTTTGTTCTTCAGAATAATTGTGTTATGTGACAAGCTACGATTATTTGGTCTAATGCACCATACAACTTTTCTTTGGAGATTTCTGGTTTGAAAGAAACAAGAGATTTTACAAGGGGAAGATTCTTGTCATGATAGTTTATGGGATCTAGCTGTGACTTTTTGTTTCTACTTCGTGCTCTCTCTTGAAAGATTATTCTAATTATGATTTCTTGCAAATCATTGCCAATTGGGAGTCTTTGTTTAATCTACTTGGCTTGTGGGGATATCTCATCTCCCCTGTTTTTTGTATGTCCCCTGTTTATAATGAGACTTTTTTTTCCCATAAATAAAATTATGTTATGTGATTTTCTTTTGATCTTTTATTGACCAAGTGTTCTTGTTGATAAAATTTCCTGTTTTAGTAAGAAAGTTGTGTAATGATCAGATAATGGGCAGATGCATGAAAATCATCTATTACAACTTCTTTTGGGGATAATGCAGTGGATTGATCCTCCTGATGCTGTTTCGAGAGCAATTGAAAATGGAAAATGTGAAAGGTTAACTTGCACTCTTAATTGCCCTATTTTTTTTTTAATTTTTTATTTACTCTCTTTCTCTTATGTATATTCTCTTTTTGTTTGGTTTAGTGAGATGCTTGATGGTTGTCGTGCATTGCTGTCCATCGCAACTGTGACAACTCCCTTTGTGTTTGACCAACTACTTAAGTCAATCAGGTCAGTAAAAGAACATTCATTTAATTCAGTAACTCATTTATTGTCATGCTTGGAAACTCTTCCACTTTTTAATTTATAATTCTTTAAATGTTTTATGCAATTTGATTGGATTCTTTTCCAATGACATTCAGGCCATTTGGCACTCTTCAACTGCTATCTAGTTTGATGGGTGAAGTTGTCAAGGTTCTTATGACCCATAACAGTGATGAGGAAACATGGAGTTGGCAAGCTCGTGATATATTACTAGATTCCTGGACTGCCCTTCTCATAGTATGTCGTAATCAGTATTTAATAATCATCCTGTAATTATGTAAAGTTTGAACCATTGAACCAGTCAATCTTCATTATGGACAAAATTGTTGTTAAGATGTCTTGATTTTTTTTTTCTTTCATGTTTCTTTGGAGATGGATTATTACCCCTTAAGATATTTACGAGTAAAGTGCTTTAGGACTTCAGCAATGGCTAAAACATGTACATATTATTTTCAACCGAATGTCTATCTTGCCACAAACATGCTCAGACAGACATTCGACATGCCTGATGCCTATACATGAGTTAACATACTATGAGACGTTTTCCCCAGGAACATACTAAAACTTTATATAAAATATTTGGAGGGTTTGTGTTTCTTCACAAGTTTATGGATTGCGCTAGAGAAGATATATAGGCATAGAGAGTCAACTGTGAGTATCAATTAAGAATATTTCAAAGGGAAGTTTTCTTTCTATTTCTTATAGCCAAAGTGGTTGCCCGAATACTAAGAAAAGTTCTCACTTCATGATTAATTGCTTCCAAGTGGCGTTTGTTCAAGGGAGATAGATTGTAGATGCAATCATCTTGGCAAATTAGCTCCTAGGGAATTCGAGGAGAAATTGGAAAAAGGGGTACATTCTTTAGAAATCTAGAAAAACATATGATAATGTGGATTGGTGTGGGTTGGAGCTTTCCTCGTGATATATTAGACAAAAAAGGTTTAGGTTTTGGCCGGAAGTGAAGAAGTTGGATTCTTGGATGTGTTTCCTCCACAAACTAACAGAGAGGTGAACTTTTGGCTTCGAGAGGTTTAAGGCAAGGAGATCACCTTACCCTTTTCTTTACTTGAGTTGTTGGTTCCTTTAGCGGAATGGTGGGCCTTTGTAAAAGGTTGGGAAAGATTGAAAGCCTCCATGTGCCAAGGACTTTGTTGAAATTATTCACATTCAATGTGCAGATAATGCCTTCCTCTTTAGATTTTTCAAAGAGGCCTCAAGATTGAGATGAGACTAAGGTTATGGAGATGCATTCAATGTGCAGATAATGCCTTCCTCTTTAGCTTTTTCAAAGAGGCCTCAAGATTGAGATGAGACTAAGGTTATGGAGATGGCATTGTTTTTTATTGCATTTTGCAAGAAGGATAAATTCCTGTTGGATTACCTTGGCCTTTACGTTGCTTTCTTTCATTCCCTTTGGGTGTTTGTATTCCTTAACATTTGTATTACCTTTTCATTATTCAAATGAGAAGTTCGTATCTTGTTCAAATTAAAAATAAAAAAACTCACTTTTGTTTTGTTAAATTATATTTGTTATCTTTTAATTTCCTATTGTATTTAGGTTTTAATAGGTTAGAGTTTCCTTGTTATAATAGGAAAGTGTTTCCTTATCCTAATAGGCAAGAGTTTCATTTGTAGCTAGAGAGATGGAGCCTTTAACATCTAGCACATTTGTGCCTTAGACTCTTGGAAGGAAGGATATTATAGCTGTGGCTCTAAAAGAAAAGTTCTCTCAAGACTGTTAGATTAACCCGTTTTTGGCAGATAAAGGGCTTTTAAGGTTTGAAGATGGTAGATTGTTTGTCAGAACCTGGATCGTGGAATATGATTGGCAATGTGCAGGGTTGTATCTTCTTCAAGCAACGCGTCCTTTACCAACAAAGAGAAGTAATTCATAGTTCTATCTTGTCGTGAGTCCGCTTGTGTTTATGTCTTTGAATAATTCAAATAAAGATAGTCTTGTCATGATGCTGGACTATCGTCTAGGTCATCCCAATTTTGCGTACCTTGAACGTTTGTTTGCTTCTTTATTTCTCAATAAAAAGATTCATTTCTTTCGGTGCGAAATTTGTCAACTCTCCAAACACACATGCTCATTTTTCACCTCATATTTATTCTCCACCCAACCTTTCTCTCTTATTCATGGAGACATTTGGGGCTTTCAAGCGTAATAAATATAAATTGGGCACGTTGGTATCTTCTCTTCCTTGATGATCACACCTGGTTTAGTTGGACATTCCTTATGAAAGATAAATCTAAAACTAGCCACCTATTCATCGTCTTTCATAAAATGATCCAAAATTAGTTTCAAGTTAATATAAAAGTACTTAAAACTGACAATGCTCGTGATTTTTTCAACTCTACTCTTGGACCCTATCTTCAATCTCATGGTGTTGTTCACTAGAGTTCTTGTTGACACACCCCAACAAAAGGGTGTAGTTGAAAGCAAAAATCGCCATCTCCTTGATATAGCCCGATCCCTCATGCTCACATCACATGTTTCAAAAACCTTTTGGGGTGAAGCTATTCTAACAGCTACTTATCTCATAAATCGGCTATCCTCCCACATTCTCAAATTCAATACACCTTTACAAAGTTTACTCACACTCTATCCTATGTCCCATCTTGTGTCTCCATTACCACTAAAACTATTTGGATGTACTGATTTTGTTCATATATATCCTCAGCATTGTAGTAAACTCGATGCACGTTCCATGAAATGTATCTTTATTGGATACTCATTGAACAAGAAAGTATATAAATGTTATCATCCTCCAACTCACCAATTCGTTCGTACCATGGATGTCACCTTCTTTGAGAATCAACCATACTTTTCCGATTATGTCATTCTATAGGGGAGCATTATGATCTTGGACCACATAATTGGTATTGCATTCATAACTTTCCTGACATTTATTTCAACCCATCTCCTAAAAGTCCTCCAGTGTCCTCGTCTGAGCCAAATCCTATATCTATCCCTGATCCTGAATTGCAAGTTGATTCGCGAAGAGTAAGACAACTTTAGAGGAATGAGATACAACCTACAAAAGTTCAGAAAAATCAAGATCTACACAAAAATCCCAGTGTCCCTGAGAAGACAAGAGATGATTTGGACAGACTCATTGTTGTACAAAAAGGTGTTCATTCATGTACTCAACATCCCATACGATATCATTTATCTTATACTAACCTATCACTAATTTTTAGTGCTTTTGTGACTTTACTAGGTTAGATACAAGCTCCCAACATTGTTCAAAAAGTCTTACAGCAGCCTTAATGGGAAGTAGCCACTATAGAGGAGCTTCAAGCTCTTGAGAAAAATGAGACATGGACCCCAGGTAACCACACAGTTGGATGTAAATGGATTTTACGACCAAGAAACAAACCAGACGGCGGTATAGAACAATTCAAAGCTCATTTTTTTGGCTAAAGGATTCACTCAGTCGTCTTATGAGATTGATTATCATGAAACCTTTGCTCCAGCCGCCAAGTTAAATACTATTTGAGTACTTCCTCTCTATTGCAACAAACCAAGATTGATTATTGTTTCAACTTGACGTGAAGAATGCATTTTTAAATGGTGATCTAGTGGAGGAAGTGTACATGGATATACGTCCTGGACTTGAGGAAAGTATACTAGAGGAAAGATGTGTGATCTCAAGAAATCTCTCTATGGACTAAAGTGGTTGCCACGGGTCTGGTTTGAAAAGTTTACGAATGTGTTGAAACAAGATGGATCTACTCAATGTCAATCCGACACACTCTTTTCATCAAACATTCCTCGCCGAGTAAGATTACTGTGTTAATAGTATATGTTGACGATATTGTTCTCACCGGAAATGTTTATGAAGAAATAATTCAGCTGAAACAACTCCTCGAGAAAACATTTGAGATCAAATACGTTTAATTTATTTATGGACTATTAAATGTGTCAACATCTATCCATATATATTAAAATTTTTTAAAGAACGTGTCTTCAACTTAGCTTGTTGTTTCCTACTTTTATATGTCTATATCTTGTCGTGTCTGGCTCTCGGGTGGTTGTTTTAATGCGAAAAGGGTGTTGTTGACTATTGGCTCCCAGAAACACTTGCTTGCGCTTGTTTAAAGACTAGTTGCAGTTTTTTAATTGGCCTAATACATATGTATATTTTGTATATTTCTATCATTGGATGATTTTGGTACTAAAGATTGCATTTACTAGCCCAAAATTTAGATATTTTTCCCCTTGCCTTCTTCAGCCACTAGAGAGGTCTGGTCAGAGTTCATTGCTTCCACACGAAGGTATCAGTGCTGCAGCTAATCTGTTTGCTTTGATTGTGGAGTCAGAGCTAAAAGGTGGTAATGGTTTCCTACTATTTTTTAGCAATCCACTTTTTGAAGTTACTTACATTATTAGCTAATGGTGATATGCTTGCAGTAGCATCTGCCTCAGCATCAGATGACAATGTCGAAGCAGAATATTTTCAAGCTTCTGTTTCTGGTATGAGAGAGTTATAGCGATCTAATTTTAGAACAAATATTGTCCTTGTCAGCATTCTTGTTGTTAATATTTTATTCATTATTTGCATTTTCTTGCCTTCTACAGCCATGGATGAAAGGTTAAGTGCTTATGCTCTTATTGCAAGGGCAGCAATAAATGTCACAGTTCCCTTCCTCATAGGACTGTTTACGGAGCGTCTCTCTAAGCTTAATAAGGTTTCTTTTTTCAAGCATTAAGGATATCTTTTTGATGCACATTATATGATGCCCAACTGCATATTATGGATATAATGGGGGTTTTGTTCTTTTATTTCAACATTTAGAGGTGAAAATAAAGGATTAGACCTTGCTGGATTCATAGCTTTACCGGATTAGTAATTCAAGTTCATCAATCCTTCAAGCCATTCACGAGACCAAAAACAAATACGTTTGCCATTGCCAATGTGAAAGGAGCAAAGATGCTCCACTTTGTCCCAAAGTTTTGCAAAATATTGAACCAAGGACTTCAAGTGGTGGACTAGTAAGCTTGTGGCCAAATGGGGATACCAGCTCCTTGGTTCGAGCCCCGTAGGGTGCGTAGCTGGGGCTTCCTCCTTCGGGGATGAGTCCCACAATGCCGGTTACAGTGTTTGGTGGCTGTCGACACCCCCCGGTTATAGGGATCCAACTAGCGAAGCCACTCGACATCGATTTCGGGTTATTAAAAAAAAAAAGACTTCGAGTGCAACTTGGCTTCTTCTCTAACGTCTTCCAATCAAAATGATCAGAACCATAAATACTTTTTTTTGAACGAGAAACAACTTTTCATTGATATATGAAAAGGAGAAAAAGTTCAAGGATACAAACTCTCGAAGGAGAGAGAAAAGAAAAAGAGGAACAAAAAGAGGCCCAACTAGGAGCAATACGGATAATGAAGAGACAATAAAGAAAACTTTAAGAACTTTAACTTCGGGCTTGCCAGCAACTCCATCAACATCTTTAACATCTTGGTAAAGGACATTGAGATCTTGAGCAAATTTTGCTTGAATCTCAGTCTTTTCTCTTTCCCGATCAGCTTGAATCACCAACACCTTTCTATAGTGCTCTTCTAAGTTCTAACATCTACTCCCATTCTTTGCGAAGCTTGATAAGCTCGGAGTCAAGAAAGACTAAGTATGCATCCAATTTCAAAAGCGAAAGACTAGAGATATACTTGAGGGTAGCAACTATGAATTATTTAGAAACATTTAATGGAGTATCTTTATCCATGCTGCCAAGGAAATCTGCTCAAATCTCTTAATAACAAAGAAAAACCTTTGCTATAAATAAGAGAAGCAAATACAAGGAAAGCCTTTTCAACTTCTGATTCCAACGGAGAGAGAGGGGGGATAAAGTCCTATTGGGAATCTGAACCATCAACGACTGAATGCTCCACGAATTAAATAAAGGAAGTCTACAAAGTGACTTTTTGAACAGAACCATAAATACTTGCAATCACCTTTCTCAATATAGAAGGAGTTTCATTGCAAAAACGCCACCCCCACTTGGCTAACAAGGCCTTATTTTGCTGCTGAATTCCACCAATGCCCAAGCCTTCTTCCTCCATTGCTGAAGATATCTATTAGCCACATGTTTTCAAGTTTTAAAGGTGACACCCCCAAATGGAACTAGTATAGCAGAGCAATATAAATTGTCCACCAAGTGCAAAATTCAGAAACTGATAAAGCTTAGAATAAACCCTTTGTTGTCTATGAGAAGAAATGAAATGGTCATTCAGAAGGTGCTTATCTTCAAGATTTTAGTTTTGAATCAACCATATCTTTCTTGTAACTTTTCAAATTTTTAACCATCATCACCTGCTAATAAGTTACCAAAAACCACCACTTGTCGGATAAAACATCTCTTCAGCTGAAAAGATCTTAATGCATCTTTTGGTATATTCTTCCTGTCGATGTATGTGTTAATTATTTTCATTTAACTAATAAAACAAAGAATACTCCCCTGTGATATATTTTTGTTGCATATGAAAATAGTCCCCAAGGGACAGCTTGGTTGACAAGGATTTGGTGTCTCTTGATCATACCGGCTTAGAGGTCTCAAGTTCGAACTTTCCAATGAGTTAATACCAAAAACCCTTGATGTATTTTAGGTCTGGGCCTTGGGGCAGGCGCGGGTGCCCCTGGGTATAGGGGAGCAAATGTGATTCCCAATTATAAAAAACAAGAAAACAAAAAAACAGGAATGTTGCACATGAAAATATTTAAAATGGGGGGTTAAATTAGTATCAAGCAATATATATTCCCAAGGGAGCTTATGCGAAACTCTACTTTCTTATAATATGAACCATTCACTTGCGACCCTTATGTATTTTTTTTTTCTTAAATGAGAAACAACTTATATGCTTCTTCTAATTAGCACTGGGAAATATTCAGCTCTTTTGGCATCCTCTGCACCTGTGCTAAAAAGACTTCTTTCTCAACAATTTCTTTTCTTTTTTTGTTTTTGTTTTTTTTTTCCTGTCTGCACATAGTGTGAAGATTTATATACAGTCCATGGTGTTTGTAGGGCAGGTGCATCATTGATCTAACTGAAACTCTGGAAGAAATTTACTCACTTCTGTTAATAATTGGGCATGTGCTAGCTGATGAAGTGGAGGGGGAAACACCCTTGGTAAGCCTTTTTTTGGGCTAATTACTGTAGTAGTTCTATGGTTCCTCTTTTTGTTTCGATCTATATAGAAAGTTTCTTTGTATTCCATAATATTTACAATATAACGCCATTTTATGTACAGTATCGCTGTACCCTATCTTTATTATTTTTGAGATATTCAGTTTAAGGATTGAAGAAACTTGAAAGAAAGGAATATTCACTTTCATTTCAGAGGATTGGTTGTCTGCCGTAGTTTGTGATCTTTACTATAGGACTTCTGTTTCTATTAAATTTTTTACATCATTTTTCATTTATTGATGCCATCACTTATCAAAGAAAAAGTTTAAGGATTGGAAAATTATAAGTGAAATCATTTCCTTGTCTTGTGCTGTAACAACCCGTATTTTTTAATACGGTCATTCTGACAAAATGCGGAAACGTAACTTTCAAGAAACTTTAAGAACTAAAATTATTCAGCAGAAGCAATTTTTTTACAGAATTTTTCTAAACTAACCTAACTAAATAGGAAGATGACTTTCAAACTCATGCCAGTACGCTAAACTTCATCTTCTACCAGAACGATTATTCAATCCTTCATCTGAAAAACATTTAGGAAAACAAAAATGAGTACAAAAATACTCAATAAGCAATTTCCATATCGAATTTCGAAATTCATTTTCGTTTCAAAACATTCGTAAACAAAAATACGAACAAATCAAAACTTATAAAGTCCTTTAAAATATTTAATACAATTTTCAAAACTTTCAAAACAAACTAGATTTTTAGAAACAAAGTCTTCAAATAAGATAAAATTTCCAGTTAATCAAAACAAACTTTCATTCTTTCAAAACAAACCTCCATTCATTCAAAACGAACTTTTAATTATTCAAAACAATCTTCCATTCATTCGAAACAAACTTTAATTCAATCAAATTTCAAATCCTTCAAAACAAACTATCTTTCAATAAAAACTTTCAAAGTTCCTTCTAATACATTTGGTACAACTTTCAAACTTTCGAATAACTAAATCATTCAAACATTCAAAACAATGTTACATTCATTCATACTTTCAAAATCAGAGTAGGAGGTTGCATTATTTGGGTAACCCACAGAACATATGTGGTTACCCGTCGGTAACACCAATCAATCAGAAGCTTCTATCAGAGTTGTCGAATTAATATCGACCAGAACAGAGTTGTCGAAATAATATTGACCAGATCAAACAGAACGATTACTTAAGTGTGAGGCCATGTGAGTGAATAACACACACATTAATCTTCATTCCCAAGCAATGTCAAACAACAAAAGTGCCTTCCCATAAATAAGCCAGAACAGAAATCCATCAATTTCAAATTAGGCTACTACCCCAAATAAGCAAAACATTCATCAAAACAAAAATCATAGCATATCTGGATACCCGTATCAAATCAATCAAAATATCTTTCAAATAAAATGCAAAACAAATACTTACTTTCAATATTGAATTAATTCAAAACATTGAACTAATTTAAAACAAGCTTTATCAATCCTCGAAAACTTGATTTCAAATATTTCATAAATAAATAAAATATCAATTTCAAACCTTTATATAAATCTAAACAAAACTTTATCAAATCATTATTAGAATACTTAAAATACTTTGCAAATAAACATAATATAAATTGTCAAATTAGTTTTCAAATCCATAACAAAACTTCAATTTCATATGCAAGATATCAATTTCAAATCTTCATATCAAATGCAGAATACATTTTAGTTTTGGAAGGGATATGACAAATTACTTATAATACTTTTCGAAGGGATACGGTAAATCACTTATAATACATTTCGAAGGGATATGGTAAATCACTTACCTCTTTTAGAAATCCTACGAATCTAATTAACTTCTTCCTTGGTAGTTGTCAACTTAGTGGCCTAGAAACAACCAATATCCAAAATTAATCCTTAAATCCTAACCAAGATTTAAAATTGAACCAATTACTAACCAAATCTTATCTACCCAATTTTCCCATTCAAAACACTTTTTTATGCAAAATAATTAGCAAAATTGTGGATTTGGGGCTATACAACCAGATCTGAAAACTGGGTTAAAAAGCCTCTAAAATTAACAATAACAAACTTTAAAATTACAAGAATCGGTATGAATTAATACGGACTAAATTTACAAAATTTTCTCAACAAAACGAGTTTAAAAGCCTTATAATTAATTGAAAAATTGGGGATTTTAAATCTGGAAAATTTTCTGTTTTATAAAATAAAATTTCCAAGAATTTTGCATAAAACAATTAACAATTTACTGATTTTTATAGAAAAAATCAGATCTGAAAACTGTATAGAAAACCTTTAAAACTTGGTAAAAACATATAATTTTTCATGTAAAAATCAGAACAATAAACTATAGTCTATAGGATAAAAATAGATAAATTTTTTATGCAAAAAAAAATCTCAAAATAGTCCAAAAACAGTGTCATAAACAAAAAGATTCAAACAAAAAATTCTGGAAAATTTTTAGGGTAAAAAGTTCTTTAAAATCTTTTATTCTAAAAAACAAAGACCTCAAAACTTTGCCCAATAAAGTGAATTAAAGAACTACAGATCAAGAAAAATAAAACTAAAATAATGAGGAAGAAAAACTTACCGATCTTTGAGAGAAAATACCAAAACTCTTTTTCTTTTCTTTTTCTCTTTCTCTTAGAAAACTAGGTCTAGCAGTTTAAGAAAAATAAAACCTAGGGTTTAAAGGTTTTTATAACACACCCTAAAGAAACCTTTTTTTAGAAGGATAACATAAAAGGATAAAGATTTAATAAAATTCTTTCTTTTTAGTTTTTTTTTTTATTCTTTGAACAAATTATCTTTTAAAAATAATTTCTAAAACAAAAAGGTTTATCTTTGAGAAAATAAAAGAAAACAACTAAAAAAGATAATAATTTAAATACATATATATTTTTTTCGGTTGTTACATGTGCTCATTTCTTGGAAGGGTATTGTTGCACTAGAGAATTCTTGCTTATCGTTATGTATAATATGAATACTGGTTCTTGCTTGAATACTAACTTGTTTATTCTATGTAAAACTCAGGTTCCAAATGCCATACAATCCCAATTTACTAATGTGATGGAAGCAGATAAGCATCCAGTTGTTGCACTATCTAGGTGAATATTTGTTATACTATTAAAAGATATATTATTATTATTGTAATTATGTAATAGAAGTTGATAATATTTTTTTAACAAGAAACAAACCTTCCATTGATAAAATGAAAAGGAAAGTTGATAATATTTTTGCGATAAGGAAATTTATTTGTTGCTCTGTTTCAAGTCTTGCAACGAGAGAGATCTTTTTATAGTTTTAAAGTTGTGAGGGGCAGAGCTGGGTAAAAAATGCTATCTTCTCTCTTAGGTCTCCTATTTCATCAGCACCTGTTTGATAGTGGAAAGGTGGAAACTTAAGATTGTCAGGCGTTAATCAAGTTAGAATCAGTTATCAGATTGCTAGCAGGTTTCTTGCTATTCGATTTCAATTTTTGTCTTCTTTTGCTTCTTAGTTCGTTTTCGCAAAAATGGAGATTAACAGTTATTATATTGATAATAGTCATTACCGTATTTGGTTCGAAAATGATTGTTATTTTATTGAGGAAATGTCCATTAAAGCTGTGGTTGCATTTTTCTTATCTGGTGTGGTTCAAAAAGCATTTTGTTGATTGGTTGCAAGGACTGCAAGTATACTTCTTCAAGCAAGTAAGAGACGAGATGGGAACATGTAGATTTAGTAAATTCAGATATGAGTCAAGGTTGTATGTTGAATATGTTGTCTGGCCAACCTCCGGGGAGGAGGAGAATCAAGATTGCAGCAGTTTGTTAAGGACAACGGTGCCCCAAGTAACTCGAGCATCTCCACAATGATATGATATTGTTCGTTTTGGGCATAGTCCTCACGGTTTTGCTTTTGGTTTTACCCAAAAGGCCTCACACCAATGGAGATAATTGTCCTATCTTATATACCCATGATCATTCCCTTCCCTAGTCAATGTAGAACTTTTTTTGTACTCTTCTTATAAACCCAACAATCCTCCCCTCGAATAAAGTACCATTGAGCCTCCCCTCAAGTAGTCACTCATCCGTCTACTCTCGGAGGTCAGAACGAGAGCTTGCTTTTATCCAAGGCTCAAGGATGCAACATAACCTGATAGAGCATACCCATGGATTACACCATGACTGCACCTTCCGAGACTTACTACTTCTTTGTTCGGAACTCGAGAATTTCACCGACACAACTAGGTTTTAGACTCTGGCTTTGATATCACTTATTAAGGACGTACCCCAAGTACGCCGACTATCTCCACAATGGTATAATATTGTCTGCTTTTGGCATATCTCTCATGACTTTAATTTTGGTTTCATTCAAAAGGCCTCACATCGATGGAGATAATTGTCTTAACTTATATACCCATGATCATTCCCTTCCCTGCTCTTATCCAAGGCTTCCGACATACCTTGAAACAGGGCAGTTGCGACGATCTTCCATGATATTCCTACGGTGGCGGCGAGCGAGATGGATATGAATAGGCGGAGATTACGAATGGGAAAAACGATCAAGGAAAAAATCTATTGAATCCAAAAAATAGCAGGAAATTGATTAACAATGACTGTCAATCGAAAAATTGATTGGCAATGAAGGCCAATCGAAAAAGCCACAAGGCTCTGATACCATGTTAATGGATAAGAAAAAATAATTATTTCTTACTTCCCAAGAATTGGATTGATACAAGACTATAAATATGAGCCAAAAAGAAGAAGAGAAAAAAAAAACCCTTGCTTATTAGAATAAGAAAACATTCGAACAAGGAAACCTAACCTAAATACAATAGGAATTTAAAAGAAAACAATATAATTTAACAGGGTTGGATAAAAGCGGATGGAGAGCCTTATGGGACATGTTAAAAATACGTCTATCAAGACCTAAAGATAACTCATAACATTCAAGTTTAGGGATAAAGATCTCTTATGCTGAGGGTCTGAAAAGAAAAAGAAATATGCTCTAATGAAAGTTAATAGAGCAGACAAGAACTGAGATAGAGTAATTCGTCAACATTAAATAGGGTAGAACTCTCAGCTACAAATTTGAAGACAAATCAATATTGGGTCAAGAAAGAGTAAGAAGTTTTGGAGCCAGATTGGGGTAAGATAATAATTATTACCAAACTGTTTGCTCACGATGAATGAAAGGAAATTATCTATGAAATCATGAGCCATTTCTCCCAGCCTTGTCAGTTAAATCCATTTATGGAGGATAAGGCCTTGTTGAAATTTGTAGATGAAAGGTCACTGAATAAGAAATTGCTTTCAGGCAAATGGAGAAGGAAAGACAAATATCATTTGAAGATAGAGACATGAGATTTTGCTAAGCATAGCAAAAAGGAAGTTATTGAAAGTTATGGGGTTGGCTAAGAATTTGTGATTTACCTTTGAAATTTTTGGCTCGTCAACGTTTTGAGGCGCTTGGTAATCTTTGACATCTGGTGAACATATCGTCCAAAACATTTAACTTGCTTGATTGTTCTGACGCATTGATTCATGAAGTGAAATCCAACTAGAAACAATTTGCTTTGAAGAGTTTGAGAATGGCAAGCCTTGATCTTTGTAATCGTACCAATAGCTTGGACGTCCAAAGAATCCAACAGGTTTTGGAAGACGAAGGGTCCTTGAAAAGCAAATCTTCGGCTTTTAGAGACGAAAACCCTGTACTACCAAAGAAGTCAACTAATGATAAAGAAAAATCCGAAGGACAAGGAAAATGAATAGTTCTTCACTCATGTTAGAGTATATAGATTAGCTTGTATTAATATTAATTTGTCATTTACCTTCTCCTTATAGGATTAGGTCAACCTTGTATATTTGTCTATATATATATAGACTTTAATAATGAGAATACATTACGTTGGATTCTCTCCAACTTTAGTCTCTACATGGTATCAGAGTCTTGGCCTTTTTTTTTCGGCCTTTATTGCCGATCAATTTCTTATTACTTCAAATCTATTTCTGGGTTTCTTCCTCTACTATTCAGACATCATCAAGTTTGTCGATTTCGGATCTATCGTCTGTTTCGTTTCTGTTCAGTGCCACCATCATCTTTACTGCTCGCCAGTGTTCCAAGCTCAAATTTGTTCGTGCTGCTGCTCGCTTTCGTCATCGGAGTAGACATTGAATAGGAGCCGCTGCCGTGGAAGGGTTGTTAAGCCGTATGCCCTTGCATCAGCTTGATATTAAAAATGCATTCCTCCATGGTGATCTTCAAGAAGAAGTTTATATAGAGCAACCACCAGGTTTTGTTGCTCAGGGGGAGAATGGAAAGGTATGTCGCCTTCGTAAATCTTTATATGGATTGAAACAAAGTCCGCGAGCATGGTTTGGAAAATTCAGTCAGGTGATTGAGAATTTTGGAATGAAGAAGAGTAAGTCAGATCATTCTGTTTTTTATAAAAGATCTGAGTCTGGTGTTATCTTACTAGTGGTATATGTTGATGATATTGTGATTMCYGGTAATGATTYATCAGGCATMCTATCACTCAAGTCKTTTCTTCATAGTCAATTTCATACTAAAGAWTTGGGAATGTWGAAATATTTSTTAGGAATTGAAGTAACAAGGAGCAARAAGGGGATCCTTTTGTCACAAAGAAAGTATGTACTTGACTTGTTAACTGAAACAGGAAAGTTAGCTGCTAAGCCGCGTAGTATCCCAATGATACCTAATTTACAACTTACAAAGGAAGRGGAGTTGTTGAAAGATCCTGAGAAGTATAGGAGGTTAGTAGGGAAGCTGAATTATCTTAWGGTTACGAGGCCAGACATARCTTATCCARTCAGTATTATGAGTCAGTTTATGAGTTCTCCTACGACTGACCATTGGATCGCATTGGAACATATTCTATGTTATTTGAAAGGTGCTCMTGGAYGTGGCTTGTTATATAAAGATCATGGTCATCTTAATATTGAATGTTTTTCAGATGCTGATTGGGCAGGTTCTAAGGAAGATAGAAGATCAACCTCAGGATATTGTGTATTTGTCRGAGGTAATTTAGTTTCTTGGAAAAGTAAGAAACAAAACGTGGTGTCGCGTTCGAGTGCTGAATCAGAATATAGAGCTATGACACAGTCGGTGTGTGAATTAGTATGGATACATCAGCTTCTAACTGAATTGGGATTTGACATCATCACTCTAATGAAACTTTGGTGTGATAATCAAGCAGCTCTTCATATTGCATCTAATCCAGTATTTCATGAACGAACCAAACACATTGAAGTTGATTGTCATTATGTACGTGAGAAAATACAACAAGGATTGGTGGCTATAGGGTATGTGAAGACTGGAGATCAGCTAGGAGATATGTTTACTAAAGCATTGAATGAAGCACGAATAGATTATTTGTTCAACAAGTTGGGCATGATTAACATATATGCACCAACTTGAGGGGGAGTGTTAGAGTATATAGATTAGTATATTTTATATTCTTGTATTAATATTAATTTGTCATTTACCTTCTCCTTATAGGATTAGGTCAACCTTGTATATTTGTCTATATATATAGATTTTAATAATGAGAATACATTACGTTGGATTCTCTCCAACTTTAGTCTCTACAACTCAGACAAACCCTCTGGGGCAGATCTGTTAATCAATGTCTGTCTTAATGTCACAAAGGAAAACCATACGGTAAGCCTTAATGGCGATCCTTTAAAGACAACATGAGTGGCTATTCCAAACAAAATCCTCTAATTCTGTTTCAAAGAAATCTTATTCGAAATTCTTTCCAAGTAGTCTGTCATTAAGAAGCTTTATTAAACCCTTAACCCTTTCATGTCCCAGGCGAAAATTCAAAGTTTATAAAGGTTTTCCTTTTATAAATGGGGTAGTTTCCATCAAATTAAATTTACTTAATGCATTTAATGATAAAAGAGGAGAACCTAGTTCCAACCAGTTTAGTATGCCGAGAAGAGCAGCAATTAATTTGCCAGATGGTTCCAATTCTCTCTTCAAAGGTGAAATTAATTCAACAAATGCGGATCCTTATGAAGAAAACATGGTCACAGATTTTTCAGATCTCGAGGAAGGATTAAATGATAGTATTAGCAGCCCAAATTCGCCTTATAATCCCGCTTTTTCTATGACTTTATGATAGATTATTCAGAATTTAGTTTCCATGAGGAGCTACATAATTTATTTAACTTATAGAGAACATCCTAACTCAAGGTAAAAGTGAAGCTCCTGCATTGAAAAAAATGGATACACTCAACTCCTTCTAAATTCGTCCCTTCTTTAGTAAATGCAAGCATCCTTAATATCTTGAAGACACTGGAATCTCCGTTGTTCCTTTTGAAAGAAGAACATAAATATTTTGTAATGGAACATCTACGGTCTCGACAATCTTAAAAAAAGGTTGGCTATCAAAAAGTTTATTTGAAGCAGTTGCCCTGACATTGTTCTCTTTCACAAAACTAAGCTGCAATCTTTTCATATTAAACTTATGAAATCTCCATGGAGCCAAATTCGAGCTAAATTCTCTCGGGAGATCAAAGACCTATATCCACAAGACAACGATGGGGAACCCGAAGCTAAAGACTCATAAAATTTCTCTTTTGCGTCATCACATCTTGGTGGATCTTTTTATTTGTAGTTAGCTTGATCCTATTGTTGGCTTTTGATAACGCTCTTATTTTAATTGTATTGCTCCTTGTTGAACCTATTTTCTGCTTTCATCTTTTCTTTCTCTCACTCCTTTGGGAGCTCGTATCATTTGAACTTTTTCTCCTTTTCATATATCAATGAAAAGTTGTTTATTGTTAAAAAAAAAAAAATCTCTATGGAGCTCCAAATATGTGGGCTGGGTGGAACCCGATTCATTTGCTAAATCTAGTGGTATTCTCACTCCATCCTTTTGAAAGCTGGCAATTTCGTTCAGGGGTCGTGCCATTTCTGATTCTATAACTCTTGGCTTATTGGGAGTGAATGCATTGAATTGATTGAAAGCTCAGAAATTTTGAAGCCTCCCTCAAACAATGGAACATTCAGAATGATAGGAATAAAATGGCAAAGGAACATTTTACTATAGAAGCAATTGTAGCCATTGACTCTATGGAAAAAATGTGTGGTATTTTGCCGAGAAGTGATTCAGCATGCCTCTCTGAAGGAAGACGTACTGGAATTTTGGTTTTTTTTTTTGGAGAAAACAGATTTGATTCAGAAGTGTACAGTTCTTTGGCGTAAAGAAGGTGATTGCTTCTAGAAAGAGAAAGACCGTTATTTCAGAATTTCACAGTGATCAAGGTTCTGTATTTGTCAATCAATCAGAGATTGATGGAGAAATTTTAGGCTTTTTCAAAAAATTGTACAGAACTAATGATAGTCCTCGTTTTTCGTGCGGGCCAATTTCCCTCTTGGATTGTGTTTTGGAAAGCAATTTTGAAGAAATGGAAATTCTGTAGGCTTTGAAAGGTTTGGGGAAAAATAAAGCCCTCGGTCCTAACAGCTTTACCACTAAATTTTTTCAGAAGTTTTGGAAGATTTTCAAAATTGATTTTGTTAGAATGTCCATGGAGTTGCACCAAAATGGGCACATGAACCCTTGCCTTAAAGAGAAGTTTTTATGCCTCATCCTCAAAAAAGAGAGAGCCCTAAGGGTCAAAGAGTTTAGGCCAATTTGTCTCACCACTTCAATTTATAAAGTGCTTGCAAAGATCCTTATAGTGAGGCTTAAAAGGGTAATTTCTTCAATTATTTATCCGAATTGAAGTGCATTCATCAAAGGAAGACAAATTTTAGATCCTATTCTAATTTCCAACGTATTAGTGGAGGAATACAAAAGTTTTAAAACAGAGTGGCTGGATACTAAAGATCGATATTGAAAAAGCCTTTGATATGGTGGATTGGGATTTCCTTCAAATTATTTTGATTCAAAAAGGCTTCGGAGCAAGATGGGTGAAGTGGATTGGAGGATGCATGTGGTGAACTAAATTTTCAGTTTTTGCACAAAGAGGACTAAGGGGTAGAATCACTACATCAAGAGGATTAAGACAAGGTGGTCCACTCTCACCCTTTCTTTTATCCTTAGTTGGAGATGTCTTGAGCAGTTTTTTTGGAAACATCCATTCAAAAGGCCTATTTGAAGGGTTTGTGGTAGGTCAACATGCTGTTCGTATCTCACACCTTCAGTTGTGGATCATACGATTCTTTTTGTAAGGATATGACTCCATGATGAATTCCTTAATCAAAACCATTGAAGTTTTTGAATTGTTCTCCAGTTTAAAAGTACATTGGGAAAAGTCTTCAGTATGTGGTATTAATTTGGATAACTCCAGAATTGCTCAGTTAGATTCAAGACTACATTGTAAGGTGGATGCTTTATCTCTCTTTTATCTTGGCTTGCCCTCGGTGGGTTTTTGATGTAGTTGCAATAAGTTTGTTTTTTCTTGTCGAGATTGGGTTGGGTACCTTGCTATTACATAAAAAAGATGGACTATCAAACCTTTTTTCTCTATTCAAATCCTTAGTTATAATGGGATTCAAAATCAGTACCTTTTGAGATTTTGAGAAGACCTCCTTTTGGATTCTCAAAATTTCTCTCATCCATCCCCGCAGGGGCATAGAACCCATCACTGTCTCAGTTGTACCCACCATCTCCCCGCAACCTATCCAAAGGTTTTAGAATTTTTGCAACCTGTTTGCCACAAAATACTGAAGAAATTAGATAGATGGAGGCGTTCCAAATTTCTCAAGGTGGAAGGCTCTCTCTTTGTAATGCTGTTTCAGCCAATACTCAAAATTTACTATATGTCTTTACTTGCTCGCATCTAAGCAGAGCAATTTTTTTAGTCTACAAAGCTTCATTGTTCTCGTTCCCCACTTTGCCTTCCCATGCCATTGGATCCATTGTTACTGGCGAGTCTGAACATTAAGAATATAATTGCATGGAGCGCCAGACCGGGCTATCGAAGAGAGAGATCATTTTTCAAAAACAAATTGAAAAGAGTATGAGGATCTTGTTTTGGGAAAGGCAACTCAGATAGAAAATTGAAGCATTTAGTCCGATGGGATATCTCTTCCCTTCACTTGAAGCAAGGTGGTTCGGGTGTTGGTAATCTCAAACAAAAGAATAATGCCCTTTAAGCTAAATGAGGTTGGTGTTTCACCCAACAACCTACTTCTCTTTGGCGTTTTAGTTTTGGACAGCATCTATGGTTCGGGTTCACATAATTAGCATTCATTGGAGAAGAAAAATGGTTGTTCTAGATGCCCCTTGTTCAATATTTTCCAATACTGGAGAAGTGTTCACCATCATTCCTCTTTCAGTAGGAAATGGCAGACAAATATTTTTTTGGCAAAATGTTTGGCTCAGCGATTCCAATTTCAAGGTTCGTTTTTCTCACTTGTACAGGATTATTAAATCTTCTGTCTATTCCATTTCCGATAATTTGGATGGTCTTACATCCTCTTGGAATATTGAAACCCGTAGAAGTCTTAAGGACTTCCAGGTTGAGGAGTATGCTGTTCTCCTTTCTTTTTTAAATACAATATCCATTTCAAATGAAAGTGATCACACTCGGTGGAATTTGGAGTGCTCTGGGATATACGTAAGATATTATTCAAAGGAAGCTCCTCACCTCGTCTCTCCAACCTTCTATATGTGTTATGTGTTATTCTTGTCCTGTGAAATCAAGGTTGCCAGAGATTCCCAAGCTATATTTTTTTTATAATATAGGAAGCAAGACACAGAAGTCAGTCAATCTCACCTAATCAAACTAGGTAATGGTGATCATTGCTTGTGAATTAAGAAGAAAGGCATGAGCTCTAAAACAAGGAATTATGAATGTTACTACTACTTATAAGTTATAACATTTGGAATAGTTTATTCTGAGAAATTTACTCGTACACAAATATAGATTGGGATAATGTCAAAATGTCTTGGAAAAAATTAAGCCAATTAACAGGTTTATTTGTCAAATTTGAGCCAACAGGAGGGAGCGTCCATGCAACTAAGCCAATTATATCTCTAAGAGAAGCATTCCATATAGCCGAGGGAAGTAGAACTGTAGGTAGAATGTTTTGAATCCAAAGAATATCGAACTGAAGGAAAATGAAGGAAATAAATTATAGAGGTTTCAAATTCCTACGAAAATCTTCAGGTGATAGAATTATGGAGATGTTAAATTTAGCGTTGCTATTTTTTGTGAGTTCCAAATTTTGATAATCTAATGTTGACAGTTGTTTAAGCTTCTACGTAGTTGGATTGATTTTAATTTGTTTAATCGTTTATCTAGAATTTGTTATCCTTCCTTTGATTTTTCTTCATATCTCTTATACATTCATTAACAACATTGTTTCTTATAAAATGAAACTAATGCTTTTGTCTTCTCCTATAGCTTAATTATTAGGTTTGGTGAGCAAAGTTTGGATCCACAAACTAGGGCATCAATTTTTAGCCCTCGGCTTATGGAGGTAGAGTTTACTGCTTTTGCCATAATAGGCCTTCACATTCTATTTCTCTTTCACTTTTTATAACGTTTTTATGACTCCCAACACACTATATGTTGTTGTGTGGACGTAACATAAACCTAGGCAATTGCACAAAATTTCCACTTAGAAGCACGTAAGTAATAATAGGTTTGTAAACCACACCGTCAAAAGGACAATAAACTACCACCCTAAAGCACCCATGCCTCAACAAATATACTTCCAGTGGTGCAAAAGATAGCAGAGTTTGTACACGATGTAGTGCAGTATGTTTATGGGGGAGAATTCATTGAGATGAAATAACATCCACGAACACTTTTTAGTAACGAACAATAGAAAACAAATGCTCTTGACATTCACTGCTTACATAACATAGAACACAAATGAAGGGCTGTAGAAACAGATTAGGAAGCGTCTTTTGAAGAGTATCCAACATATTAAAATTCCCGAACAAAATAATCCAAGAAGGAACATTCACCATCTTTGGACGATCGTATTTCTGTAAGGCAGCAAGTAGTACATCCTTTGACATAGTGTGCACCGAACCATTCAACTTAGAAAGAGATTTGACGGAAAACTAACTTGAAGCTTCAATATTCCATCATAAAAGATACTGTCTTTAAAACAAATACAGCAAACTCTATTGACACATTGTTGACAGAGAATAATTACAAAAGGAAGAATGTAAAGGACTCCCAAGAGATGTACATTCTAAGATCGTCCTAAATATTTCTATTTGTCTCGCTACCGCTTCACTAGGGGCTGTGGAGTAAATTTTGGATTTGTATTATTGTCTTGGCAAAAGCTGTGACACAAAAGAAGAGCAAACATGAAGATGATTGCTGCTTTGTTTACCTTTCTACACATGCACGTCACCCATGGGACTGTAATTTAAGGATGTTGGACAGAACCAAAGGGCATGGAGGACAAATTTGTTTTGGCTTTTGCTGACTATTTTTAGGGAAGAATTTTTATTTAGGTTTATTTATTATTTTAAGGACGTAAGTGAATATTAGAAGCATATATGGAAATTTTAAGAATTTTTAACAAATTGATTATTGAGAGTTCGAAAAATTGAAGACAATGTTTTCAATTAGATTTTTTTAAAAAATTTTTAAAATTTTTTTTCCTTCTGTTGGAGTTAATATTTTGTGTATGAGACATCCCAGCCTTCCTCTTTTTGAACTTGAAGACGAGTTATTTTTTACTTTTTATGAGACACTCCTATCCCCTTCCTCTCCTCTACCTTCACCGGATCTTTTCAGAAAGGTATTATGCCTGCTTTGAGGGAACGCCCGAGAAAGAGGCTACAAACGTTGGGCAAAAGCTGATTTTGGTAGAAGTGAGCCCCTTGAATCGTCAATCTTCAGAGACAGAGATGGCCTTGGAAGGGATTGGTGTGACAGACAAGGCTGTGCACACTCCTCTAGATGCTCTCCCTTACACAAAAAACTTAGTAGTGGCTCTATGGGAAAATAATCTGTGTATTAGGCCTATTCCTTATAAAGGTAAGGTGGGTGGAAAAGGGAGCAAGAGTAATAATTTAAAAAGTGGAGAGTTGAAAAACCTGCTGGCTACTTGGGAGAATGAAGCTAAGGTAGCAAAGCAGAGAGTAGATGAGGGCCTCGAGGTTGCTTTATGAAGATCATTTCGTGGAATGTCGGAGGCCTAGGAGCAGCCTCCAAAAGAGCTCTGGTGAAGAATTTGCTCAACGATCGGATCCTGATTGAGTTTGTCTTCAAGAAACTAAAAAGAGTGAGATTGATAGAAGTTTTGTTAAGTCCATTTGGAGCTCTCGGCAGGTGGGTTGGTGGTCTTAGAAGAGAAGGGTTCAGCAGGGGGAATTCATCTTTTATGAAACGAGCAGAAGCTGACGTTTCTTGATTCAATGGTGGGTCGTTTCTCTCTAACCATTTCCTTCTCCTTTGTTGATGGTAGATTCAGTTGGTTGACAGGTGTCTATGGCCCATCCACAAGTAGAGAAATCTTATTTTTGGAGAGAGATAGAAGATCTTGGGGGGTTATGTCAAACTCTTTGGTGCATTGTTGGGGATTTCAATGTGGCTCGTTGGTTATCACAGAAAAAACAGAGTAGAAATTTAGGGAGAATCACTCGTAGTATGAGGAATTTTAATACTTTGATAGAGGCTTTAGACTTGTTGGACCCACCGATGGACAACGACTCCTTCACTTGGTCAAACTCCAGAGCTCTTCCCACCCTCTCAAGGTTAGACTGTTTTTTGGTTACTAAAGATTGGTTACTTTCTTTTACAGAACAGAGGATTGCACGCCTCCCTCGCCCCACCTCGAACCATTTTCCTATTCACTTAGCCTCGGCAACTCAGAAGTGGGGCCCCACACCGTTCGGATTCGAAAATGCTTGGCTCGAGTCTCCTCATCTGCTCCCTCTGGTGGAACAGTGGTGGTATTCACATCCCTTACGAGGATGGCCAGGCTTTGACTTTATGGAGAAATTGAGAGGCCTCAGATGTGTTCTCTCCTGGTGGAATAAGGACGTGTTTGGCAACGTGGGTATGAAGAAGATGTCTCTTCTGAATGAAATAGAAGCTATTGATAGATTGGAGGATGAACAAACCCTTTCAACGGAGGAGGTGCATAGGAGAAAGAGTTTTAAAGGAAGATTTAATGGAGTCAATAATCAATTATTTGTGAACAGAGGATGTGAGCTCAGAGAGGGAAACTTGAAGTGGTTGACAAAAGGCGACAAAAATACGAACTTCTTCCATAGGTGGTGTAGTTTTGTGAGAAGGGTTATATTTTTCTTATTCTCATTACAACCCATTTAGGGGTAAATATACAAGAAGACCTTTCAACAAATAAGGAATTAATCTAAACCTATAAGGAAAACAATAAAATTACAGAATATACAGAGACATAATGTAAATTCTAATAAGGAAAAAACTTAATTTACGGCTTGATTTTCTACACTCCCCCTCAAGCTGGATGATATATGCTTGTCATTYCAAGCTTTGAGATTAATCTACTAAGGCTGGGTYGATGCAATGCCTTAGTTAAAATGTCAGCAGCTTGTTSTTGGGAARATACATATCTCAGATTGATAGTATTTGTCTCARTCTTCTCGCTGATGAAGTGACGATCTATTTCGACATGTTTCATCCGATCATGATGTATTGGATTTCTTGCAATGGCTATGGCAGATTGATTGTCACACAATACCTCTATAGTACCTTCTGTCTTCACCTTGAGTTCARTGAGAAGACGTTTCAACCAAACTCCTTCACAGATCCCATGGGCTAATGATYGAAACTCAGCTTCAGCACTACTTCGAGCTACAACTTGCTGTTTCTTACTACGCCAGGTTACTAGATTCCCCCATACATAGGAACAATATCCTGATGTTGACTTACGGTCAATAGGAGATCCARCCCAATCTGCATCCGTGTAGACTTCAAGAGCTCGRTTTGTGGTTTTTCTGAACATCAGTCCTTTTCCAGGATCGTGTTTGAGATATCTCAATATTCWATACACAGCTTCCATATGCTCCTTTGAWGGTTTGTTCAGAAATTGACTTACCACACTAACAGCAAAACTAATGTCTGGTCGCGTATGAGTTAAGTATATTAGCTTTCCAAYTAGGYGTTGATATYTRCCTCGATCAACTGGTTCATCTTCAAGATTAACTCCAAGTTTTGAATTTGCATCCATAGGAGTGTYTGTTGGTTTACAACCACTCATCCCGGTCTCTATTAGGAGATCTAACGTGTACTTTCGTTGAGTGACAGAAATCCCTTTACTAGATCTTGCTACTTCCATAMCTAAGAAATACCTTWGGTGTCCCAAGTYTTTGATCTCAAATTTYTTCGAGAGGAGTTGCTTTAGACGAACCATTTCTTCAGAGACATTTCYTGTAAGTATTATATCATCAACATATACTATTAATACAGTGATCTTACTTGGTGAGAAGTGCTTGATAAAGAGGGTATGATCGGATTGACACTGAGTATAGCCGTCTTGTTTCAACACATTTGTAAATTTTTCAAACCAGGCCCGAGGTGGCTGTTTTAGTCCATACAGAGACTTCCTGAGTTTACATACCTTTCCCTTAGTATATCTGTCATCAAATCCAGGAGGTATGTCCATGTACACTTCCTCTACTAAATCACCATTTAGGAATGCATTCTTCACATCAAGTTGAAACAATGGCCAATCTAGATTTGTTGCAATGGAGAGAAGTACCCGAATAGTGTTTAGTTTGGCAACTGGAGCAAAAGTTTCCTGATAGTCAATTCCATAAGCTTGGGTGAAGCCTTTAGCCACCAGGCGAGCTTTGAATCGTTCTATACTGCCATCTGGTTTGTGTTTGGTTGAGAAAATCCATTTACATCCAACCGTGCGCTTACCTGGAGGTAAGTCTGTAAGGATCCATGTCCCATTTTTTTCCAAAGCCTGCAATTCTTCTAGAGTAGCAGCCTTCCATTCAGGTTTCTGCMAGGCTTCTTGAACTGTGTTGGGAGTTTGAACCTGATCTAGTGAAGTCACAAAAGCTCTAAAATACGGCGACAGATTAGTGTAAGACAAGTGATACCGTATGGGATGTTGGGTACATGAGCGAATACCTTTCCTGATAGCAATGGGTCTATCATGTCCTGATGTCTCGTGTGCTATCTCAGGGACATTAAGATTTTGGTTTAGATCTTGGCTTTGCTGAACTTGTGTAGGTTGTATTTCGTTTCTCTCAGGTTGTCTTTTTCGCCGCGAATAAACTTGCAGTTCAGCCTCAGAGGGAGATACGTGAGTTGGCTCAGAATGAGGTACAGGTGAACTCTCAGAGAATGAAATTGGCTCAGAATCAGAAGAGGGTACAAGAGAACTCTCAAAGGATGGGTTTAAAGAGAAGTCAGGAATGCAATCCCAATTTTGTGATTCAAGAATAGAATTCTCCCCCTGAAGGACAGAATTTGGATAATATGGTTGATTTTCAAAGAAGGTGACATCCATGGTAT